TCCTGAAGACAGCCGACACCAACTACAGTGACGAAAACAATTGTCTGGATGTTTTGCATTAACGAGGGTTTCTGGGCATTCCGACCACTGTACTTAAAGTCTTAATGTTTAATGGTGGCACGCTTTTGGAGGGGCACATAGTGGATGTGTTCATAGTGCTATAATCCATAATAGTACACTAGATCTAACTTAGTGTCAAAAGATATCCAAAGGGTCCATCCGGACAATTGTTTCCCAGGATAAAGCGCGAACTTCCGAACAGCGTTTCTAGTACCTATTCCACCGACCCTTGGCCTTGATCACCACACGCACCCTCTTAGGCATGTTATCTATGAGATAAGTGCAAACCTTTGCAGGGATCTTCTCACACTGTTCTTGGACCCATGCTTTTGCATAAGGGGGTGAGCACTAGGAAAATCGCGAAGGATTTGAGCGTATGGAAGAGTATTGTGTACGATTTCTGATTGAATGTGATCTCTAAGACTAGCCACGCTGAGGTGTGTCTTCTCATGAAAAGACAGGACCATTAGCCATTTGGTCCCATCTTTTCATGGGTCGTCTTCGTCGTACCGTTGTAGGGTATAATTACGAACAGAGTGGCGAAAACTAGCGCATCCGCTGCGAAACTTAGGGTAACATAGCACGGTCAACTGTGCACCCTTTCACTATTGGAATCACGCTAAAACCCACCGGTCTCATCACGGTGCAGCAATCGAAGAAGCCCCGACTGGTGGGGAAAAATATCCGGGTTGAGGTCTGGTGAGGAAAAGGGTCAATCCAGTGCTACATACTCATTCTCTCTAAGCCATTCCAAGCCTAGTTGGGTCAAATGGCTTGGAATGGCTTGAAGAGCATGAGTATGTTGCGCTGGAGTGACCCTTTTCCTCACCATACCTCACCTCAAACATTCATCTCAAACAGTCATGACTTCTTCGACAGCTGCACCGTGACGAGACCTGCGGATCCTAGCGTGATTCTAATAGTGCAAGGGTGTACAATTGACCATGCTATGTTACCCTCAGTTTCACGGTGTATACGCTAGTTTTCCCCGCTCTGATGGTAGTTTTACCCTACAGCGGTACGACGGAGACGACCCATGAAAAGACGCGACCAATCGGCTAATGGCATCTTTGGTCACACTTCAGCGTGGCAAGACTAAGAGATCACATTCAATCAGAAATCATGCACATTTCTTTTGCATACGCAAAAATCCTTCGCGATTTTCCTAGTGCTCACCCCCTTATGCAAAAGTGTGGGTCCAAGAAGAGTGCCAGAAGTTTCCTGCAAAGGTTTGCACTAACCTCTTAGATAACATGGCTAGGAGGGTGTGGATGGTGATCAAGGCTAAGGGTCGGTGGACTAGGTACTAGGAACGCTGTTCGGAAGTTTGCTCTTTGTCTTGGTAAACAATTGTCAGGATGTACTCTCTGGATATCTTTTGACACTAAGTTCGATCTAGTGTACTATTATGGATTATAGCATTATGAACACATCCACTATGTGCCCCTCCAAAAGCGTGCCACCATTAAACATAAAGACTTTAAGTACAGTGGTCGGAATGCAAAAAAAACCCTAGTTAGTGCAAAACATCCGGACAATTGTTTCCGTCACTATAGGTTCTTAGAGAACGAGGGGATGTGCAGGCCTGTAAAATTGCCGGACGGGACCGCCGGACATGGAAGGGTGGTGGAGCTACGTGCAACTACCAGACCTGAGGAGGGGTCTGCAAGTGCGACGACGGCAGCGGCGTCAAGCGGCGTAAGGGAAGCGTGGTCGCGAAAGAAGCAGGTAGACGCACCAAAGTCAAGCCTAAAGGAGAGCGAAGCGCTAGTGGCAGCCGGCGGAGGGGCTAGTGTGGAGCCTAGGCTAAACAATGCAGACGGTCCTACGCCTGACGCAACAGGGGAGCCTAGACTACACACAGTGGACACACCTACGCTAGGCAACACCGGGTAATATGGTCCAATCACACTAGAGTTATCAGCATAAATGACATACATAGCATTCCTAATCTGATCCATGTCAAGCTCAAAGACCAGCACACGATGGTGAGCCAGGGCGTACCAGTCTGGAGGGTCCGACGCAGAACCGAAGCGGTGGCGGAACAGGTCGTCCAGGCGGTGTGGCCGGGCCGGAGGTAGACAGTGCCACGGCGAGGGCCGGTCTGAAGCTGGTACTGGCAGTTGACCGCGCTGGAGCTGCCACCCGACACCGAGCTGCGCCCGCCCCCCCCACGACCACCGACGCTAGCACCGCCAGTCCACCACGGCGGCGACGGTCCCCACGGCGACTGCTGCTGCTGCGACGGCTGCTGCGGCGACTGTGGCTGCTGAGTCTACTGCTGCTGCTGCTGAGGCTGCGTCAGTTGCTACGGCTGCTCCGGGGCACCAGCCCCGGTCCCCTCATCTGAACCACCGCCCGCACCCTCACCGCCACCACCCTCCCCACCGCCACGCCCCCCTTTGGGGCGGCGACCCTTACCCGGACGCTTCTGCAATGAGGTCGCAGTAACGGTCTCAAAAACAGCCGCAGAGATGTCAGAGTAAGTGCACTGGGAGGGAGCACAGCCCTGAAAGACAGGCACCGCCGCAGTGCCGCTAGACTGAGCGATACTGCGCTGACGGATCTCTATCTCGGTTAGGGCAGTGACAAAGGCGGTAAGAGTGAGGTCACCCGGGTGCTGACTAAGGAAGTGGTCGCGGGCTGTGGCGAGGCGGTCAGGGAGGCGTGTGGCGATGAGATGAAGGGTAGCGCTGAATGGTGGCGGGAAAGTAGTAAGCTGTGCCTCAGTGCTAGTAGCGCGGTAGCTCGTCTCAAGCACGCGGTGGTGCGTGGCAAAGTCCGCGACAGTGGGGAAGGATTGAAGATCAGGGAACAGCATGGGAAGGATCAGGCGACAAGCAGAGGCAGTGGCAGTGGTGGAATAGCGCGCAATGGCAGCATCTAAGAAAGCCTGAGCGTTCGCGACAGTGGTAAAGCGAGGACGCTCAAACAGCGGGAGCGCATGGCTAATAGCAAGCTGTGCTACTGCGTCGCACGAGTCCCAGACGGCACGAGCAAGCGCAGCAGCGGAAAAGGCCTCACGCTCAGCAGTGGTGGGGGCATAACGGAGGGCAGCAGGTGCAGGGGGGCAGGGAAGCATGAACAGCCAAGGAATAACCGTCCTGGCACTGACCTGTAAGGTGACGCCGAAGGTCGACCAGCCACGCATCAAAGTTGAGCGCCCGACCCTCTGCATCCAGACAGAGCTGTGACTTCGCCATCGCCGCTGAGGCAGCTGCTGACGGCCGCTGACATAGTGAGGAGGACAGGTGGAGGAAGCGGTGGAGAGCGGTGGAGGGTGGTGGAGAGCAGTGGAGTGCGGTGAAGAGCAGTGGAGTATAGTGGAGTGCGGTGGAGTGCGGTGGAGAGCTGTGGAGTGCGGTGTAGTGCAGTGGAGTGCGGTGGAGTGCGATGGAGAGTGGTGGAGAGCGGTGGAGACAGCCGGCAGGGGAGCCGGCGCTGAAGGGAACCAGAGCCGGTGGGTCGGCGCTGCGACTCGACGGCCCGGCAGCTGGCCGCTGAAGCGGGGGCCGGCTACGCTGGAGCCGGCTGGCTGAGCGCAAGGGGCCGGCTAGGCTAGAGCCGGCTGGCTGGCCGGCCAGCTGGCGAGGCCCGACGGGTCGTACGGGGCTGACGGGGCATTGACGGGGCCGGTAGGGCGCTAACGGGGCCGGCGGGGCGCTAACAGGCTGGCGGGGCGAGCAGGGCCAGAGGGGCGCACGGGACCGACAGGGCGCTAACGGGGCCGGGAGGGCGAGAACGGGCCGGCAGGGCGCTAACGGGCCGGTGGGGCGAGCAGGGCCAGAGGGGCACACAGGGCCGACGGGGCGTGAACGGGGCCGTCAGGGTGCTAACGGGCCGGCGGGGCGCTAACGGGCCGGCGGGGCGAGCAGGGCCAGAGGGGCGCACGGGGCCGACAGGGCGCTAACGGGCCGGGAGGGCGCTAACGGGCCAGGAGGGCACTAACGGGCCGGCGAGCCGCTAACTGGCAGGCGGGGCAAGTGGGGCCAGAGGGACGCACGGGGCCGACGGGGCGCTAACGGGGCCAACGGGGGTGTACGGGGCCAGCGGGCGCGAACGGGGCCGGCAGGGCGCTAATAGGCCGGCGGGGCGTTAAGGGGCCAGAGGGTGCTAACAGGGCCGGCAGGGCGCTAATGGGCTAGAGGGGGCGCACAGGGGCGGGGCTCTAATGGGGCTGGAAGGGCGCTAACGAGCCGGTGGGGCGCACGGGGGCCGTCGGGGCGCTAAGGGGCGGCTAGGAACGGGCAGCTAGGACTAGGACGAGAGTGGAAGCGCGGGTGGGCGGGAAGGACCTAACCTAGCGCGTGATACCATCTCAGAGTAGAAAAGTAACTAGAATGAGGCAAACAAGTTGATTTTGTAAAGGGGTTGTACCCTCTAAGAGCATGCACCTATTTAGCCTATTATAACATATACAAATATGTTTGACACCTACCACCCAACCTGCATTCTATCCACATGCCCTCTCTTCTGCCCATCGTGCCACCCGTCCTGCCGTTCATCCGGCTTTCCATCACGTTTATCAGATTGCTGTGGGAGCTGTTTGCTAGATGGGTATCTCAATGGAAAGAGACAGCTTGCATGGAAAGTATTCACTGCATGCATGGAAAGTATTCAGTGCTTGCATGGAAAGTATTCAGTGCTTGCATGGAAAGTATTCAGTGCTTGCATGGAAAGTATTCAGTGCTTGCATGGAAAGTATTCACTGCTTGCATGGAAAGTATTCACTGCTTGCATGGAAAGTATTCCCTGCTTTTAGCAAAGGTTTTTGAATGATTCCATAATGGTGGAAAATACATAAACATTTCATAGCACTCCATTATTGCCACTCCCCCCCTCCGATTCGCTCCTCCCCATTTCCATTGCCTAAGCAACCCTTCTCCAACCTCCATTCTCAACCCATCTCCCTTTCATCCGCCTATCAACCTCCTTCCCACTTCCGAAATCCGAAGTCAATGAGGCTCCTTAGTGGGAGCGCTAGATGGTGGCAGCAGGGACGCAGGTGTTGTTGCCCCGGATGTAGCTGTTGCTGTTGCTGAAGTGGAGCTCCTCAAGGCAGGGGCGGAAGTCAAATGCCCACGCATACAGAATGTTCACCGTCTCCCCGGGGAACATCTGCACATTGCCAGCGCCCCCCCAGTTCATCCACATCTCGCAGTACCCCGGCAGGGTTTGCCGCACAGCCCACACCACTTCCAGTAGATCACAGGCTCTCTGCTCCAGTTCCAGAGGAGTCAGCAGAGCCCAGTGGTCCTTACGCAGAGCTGGTGGGTTGCCTAATGTACCTGATGACTTGCACTCGCCCAGATCTCGCATACCCTCTCAGCATCCTGGCTCGATTTGTGGCCACAGGCAGACACCGACCTCAGCACTGGTCTGCCGCTAAGAGGTTTTTGCGTTATCTTGCAAGTACATCAGGCATGGGGTTAGTGCTAGGAGGACGTAGGCCAGTAGTCCTTACTGGACACACAGACACTTCTTGGGCAGACGACGCCGAGACCCTCAGGTCCTCGCAGGGCTACAGCTTTAGCCCTGGTTCAGGTGCCGTCTCGTGGAGAGCTACCCGCTCCTCGTCTGTTGCCCAGTCCAGCAGTGAGGCCGAGATCTACGCCGGTGCCATGGCGGCACAGGAGCACTGCTGGCTGACCTTCTTGCTCACTGACTTAGGTGAGCGGCCTAGCTCTGCACTGGTCCTGTATGCCGACAACAGGGCCATGATCCTCCTGTGTCAGGAGCCTCGACTTGAGGGCAGAGCGAAGCACATCTAGCTGCGGTAATTCCTCCTGCGCGAGCTGCAGCAGCGTCGCCAGGCTCGCGTAGTTCACTTGGCCTCTGGTGCCAACACAACTGATATCTTTACGAAGGTGCTTGCGCACTGTGTACAGCTAGGCCTTGTTCCTGTTGCCTCTCACCTGTTAGGGCCTTGACTATGTACTGACCTTTATGTATATTTTATTCTTGACTGGCCTTGTGGCCTCTCCCAGTGGCTGGATTAGTAGTGCCGCCCTGGCCTTGCTCTTGCACTGGTCTGTACTTGTTTGACTGGTCTTTAGACCCTTGCCTCAGAGGTTGGACTAGTAGTGCCACCCTGAGTTGCTGCTTCTCTCATCAGAAACTGCACCCATGCAGTCGAGGGGGTGTGTCAAACATGTATATATACATATATATACTTTATGTTTGTATAGAATGTATAGGTTCGTATCTTAGAAGGTACAACGCTTAGGCTTATACCCTTGTACTCTTTTCTCTCGACATTCAATCCTACGTTAAAACCCGCAGCCCAAATTGTTCAAACGTACTGTGTAAGAACCCTGGGCGTGCTGTTTTACGAAACGCACAGGAAAATCGTGAGGGTGTTTTTCCTCGTGAACTGCAAAGTGTTCGTGCACTGTCAGATTCAACCCTAAGTTTTCAGATGTAGATATGTGAAAAATGGACGGTAAATAAACGTGCTATACTGTCAAATGTAACTTAGGTTGTTACTGTAGACTATACTAGATTGTGCCTTAGAGGGTACAACACTCTAGTCTATATATCCTTGTACACACACATTCTAGTTTCAATCATTTTCTTTCTGATATGGTAGGTTAGATCCCCCCCTAGCCCGCTCACGCTTCCGCCCCTACGTTCCTAGCCGCCCCCCTGGCCGTCGCGCTTGTCCCTAGCCGGCCCCCTGGCCGTTCGCGCCCGTCCCTAGCCGGCCCCCTGGCCGTTCGCGCTCGTCCCTAGCCACCCCCCTGGTCGTTCGCGCCTGTCCCTAGCCGGCCCCTGGCCGTCGCGCTCGTCTCTAGCCGGCCCCCTGGCCGTCGCGCCCGTCTCTAGCTGGCTCCCTGGCCTTCGCGCCCGCTCCTAGCCGGCCCCCTGACCGTCGCGATCGCTCCTAGCCGGCCCCCAGACCATCGCGCCCGTCCCTAGCCGACCCCTGACCGTTTGCGCCCGCCCTCAGCTGGCCCCCTGGTCGTCGCACCCACTCCTAGCCGGCCCCCTGCCCGTCGCGATCGCTCCTAGCCGGCCCCTGACCGTCGCGCTCGCCCTTAGCCGGCCCCCTGGCCGTCGCGATCGCTCCTAGCCGGCCCCCCTGACCGTCGCGCTCGCACCTAGCCTCACGGTCGCGATCGCTCCTAGCCGCCCCTCGCCGCCGTCGCGGCTGTCCCTGGCCGCCGTCGCGGCTGTCCCTGGCCGCCTTCGCGGCTGTCCCTGGCCGCCGTCGTGGCTGCCCCTGGCTGTCGTCGCGGCTGTCCCTAGCCGCCGTCGCGGCCATGTCTACTTGCCGCCCGCCAGCCGACCCCTGCATTTGCGCCGTTGCCGGCCCGCCGCTGCCTCAGGTTCGGCCCGTTCTTCCCGATCAGCACCGCCCTCCAAACCCCCCCCGGTACCGTACTGCATCGCTTTGCACCGCTTTGCACCGCACTGTACCGCTTTGTACCGCATTGCACCGCACTGCACCGCACTATACCGCACTATACCGCACTGCACCACACTGCACCACACTGCACTGCACTACATCGCACTGCACAGCACTGTCCTACTCTACACTGCCCTCTATTGTCACTCATGGCGGCGGTGCTTTGCTTTGACGCTGAGGGCCAGCTGATTGAGTTTGATGCATGGCTTGCTGACCACCGTCGCCATCTCACTGGTCAGCGGCAGGATGGCCACTCGCTGTCTGTCCATCTTGATGGTACCCTCCCCTGCCCTGACCCCCCCGCTGCCCTGTCTCCTGACCCCTCGTCCGTTGAGCGTGAGTCCGCTGCAGCCGCTGCCCTTGCTCGTTCTGTCTGGCTGTCCCGTGACGCTGTTGCACAGCTTGCTATTAGCAATGCCCTCCCCTTGTCCGAGCGACCTCGCTTCAGGTCTATCACCACTACCCAGGCTTTCCTAGATGCTGTTGTCCAGCGCTATTCCACCCCGCCTGCTGCCTCGGTAGGTCGTCTGATCCTCCCCATGCTCTTTCCTGACCTTGCGTCGTTCCCCACTGTCGCCGACCTGGCCGCTCACCTGCGCACCATAGACGAGACCTGGCGTGCTGCCTGCACCCCCACACATCTTCTAGCCCACCAGCCACCCCTCACCTCTACTCTCTACCTGCTAACCACCTGCCTCTCTGACCATCTTGCCACTGCCCGTGACCGCTTTCTTAGCGTCCACCCAGCAGACCTTACCCTCACTGACTTTGTTGACACCCTGTCCGCTATAGAGGCTCGCCACCGCTCTATCGCTCAGACCAGCGGTACTGTGCCGGTCCCTATCTTTCAGGGTTGTGCCCCCGCTCAGTGCACCTTCTCCGACGGTTCTGCTGCTGTGGCTGAGACTGCCGCTGCCGCACAGGTTCGTCCGGGGAAGGGTCGCCGCCCCAAGGCTGGACGTGGCGACGGGGGTGGGGGTGCGGGTGTAGGTGGTGCTGGAGTTGGGTCACCTAGTGGTGGTGCTGACGCGGGGACCCTGACAGGTGCAGCCGAGCAGCCGTCTCAGCTGTCGCCGGTGTTGCCGCCGGCCCCGCGCCAGCCGCAGCAGCCACAGCCGCTGCAGCCGTCGCCGCAGCCGCAGCAGTCGCAGCAGCAGCAGAGGCGAACGAGTCGTCTTCCGCCTAGGTGGCCCAGCACTGGTGTTAGCGCTGGACGTGGTGGTGGTGCGCGTGGTGGGCTGCCGAGTGGTGGTTCGGATGCCGCACGCTGTCAGTACCGGTCCTCGCCGTGGCTTTGTTTGCGGTAAGATCGGTCATACCTCCGTCCGCTGTTTCCGTCGCCTGGACGACCTGTTTCGTCAGCGTTTCGGCCCGTCGCCCGAGCTCCCAGACTGGCACAGCTTGCTTAGTCATAGAGTTCAGATTTTTGATCTGGACATGGATGAGATTGTTACTCCTCTGCATGTGATGTATGCTGATGCCTCTAGTGTGCTTCCGTCTTATTACCCCTTGTTGCCTAGTGTAGGTGTGCCTTCCTTAGACTCCCCTGCTGCGTAAGGCATAGGATTCCCTGCTTTGTTTACCCTTGGTGCTTCCGTTGCTACTTCGCCTCTGGTCGCTACTGCCGCGCTCTCCTTCACCATCGACTCTGGCGCTTCCCGGTGCTTCTTCCGTTGACACCACTTCCTGTCCCTGCCACCGTCTCCCTGGCTGTCCCCTCCTCTGGCCCTGTAGTTGCCCGCAGTTCCACCGCCCTCCCCTGCCCAGCGGTTCCTTCGGGCTCTCTAACAGGCCTGCACATCCCCTCGTTCTCCAGGAACCTAGTTGGTGTCGGCTGCCTCCAGGACCTTGGCGTCACCACTACGTTCCCTGGTCACCACTGAGGCCGCCACTGGTGCCCCCCTTACCACGTTCCCCCGGGACCCGGTGTCCGGACTGTTCACACTGGACACTATGACCCCCCCGGCTAGGACCCCCCTTCAGGTGGCTGCGTCTACCCAGGTTGCTGCTACCTGCTCCTGTCGGTCACTCACCCACCCGACTCTCCTGTGACACCACCGTCTAGGTCATACTGCGCTCCCGCGTCTGCGTCACATGTCACAGCACGGTCTCGTCCTAGGCCTCCCTTGGTCGTTCTCTGAGTTTCCCTCCTCCCCTGCCCCACCTTGCACGCCTTGTGTCGAGGGCCGGCTTCGCCGTGCTCCTCACTCCTCCTCGTTTCCCCCTACCGCCGCACCGCTACAGACTCTGCACATGGACGTCTGGGGCCCCGCCCCCGTCCATGGGCCGCGTCGAGAGCGCTAATTTCTAGTGCTTGTCGACGACTACACGCGCTACACCACTGTGTTCCCCCTGGAGCGGAAGGCCGACGTGCCTGACGTTCTTATCTCGTGGCTTGTCGCTGCGCGTGTCCGTCGCGGTCTCCCTGTCTTGCGCCTCCACTCCGACCGTAGTAGCGAGTTTGCCTGTGGTGTCCTTGGTCGTTTCTGTCGTGCGGAGGGCATCGCCCACACGTTCACCTTGCCGGACTCCCCGCAGCAGAATGGGGTCGCTGAGCGACGCATCGGTTTGGTCACGGAGGTGGCTCGCACCTCCATGATCCATGCCGGTGCACCCCATTTCCTGTGGCCGTTCGCCGTTCGCTACGCCGCTCACCAGCTTAACCTGTGGCCGCACCCCTAGCAGCCTCAGGTTTTGCCGACCCTCCTTTGGTCTGGGTCACCTGGTG